GTGATAGGTCATCTGGTCGTAAAAGGAAATGAGATTGGTTAAGCATGACCTACCCACAACAAACCTGTGCTGGCAGTTGCTCAGGATGTTGCCATTGGCGAGTCAGTTAAGAGTGGCCTCTTTGATAATCTTTTCTAAGACCTTCCCTGGGATAGAGGTCAGGCTGATGGGCCTGTAGTTTGCCGGATCCACTTTCTTCCCTTTCTTGATGATAGGCACCACATTGGCCTTCTTCCAATCTTCACGCACTACACCAGAGCACCAGGAGCTTTTGAAGATCCATGCCAGGGGCTGAGCTATGATGCTGGCCAGCTCCTTGAGTACTCTCAGGTGTAAATTGTCAGGGCTGGCTGACTTGAAGGTGTGCAGGCTCTCCAGGTGTTCCTTCGCAAGGTCATCATTGATGGAGGGCAAGGATTCACCCTCACTCAGGTGTCCCTGTCCCATAATGGGCAGGGGCATCCCATGGGATTGATGAAAGACCAACACAAAGTACCCATTTAGTAAGTTGGCTTTTTTCTGGGCGTCGGTTGTCAGTTGTCTCTTCTGGTTTAGGAGGGGTCCAATGTTGCCCTTGCTTTTCCTCCGGCTCCCCACATATCTAAAAAAGGACTTTTTATTCTTCTTGATTCTTGTAGCCAGTTGGAGTTCCATTGCAGCCTTGGCTTTTCTGGTTTGCTCCCTGCAGCTCTGGACCAGTGCAGAATTCCTCCTTGGATGTGGATCCAGTCCTCCATCCTTTTTAGGTCTTTCTTTTTAGACACAGGAGGTTCACTAGTTCCTTGTTGAGCCAGGGGGGCCGCTGCGCCCTTTTGCTGCCTTTCCTCCAAGACGGAATAGCCTTAGCTTGTGCATCTAGGATCAGTCCCTTGAGGAGCAACCACTCTTCCTGGACTCCCCTCCCCTTGGGGTTGTGGTCCCTTAGGGCCTCATTGACAAGCCTCCTGAGCTTGTCAAAGTCAGCCCTCCTGAAGTCGAGGACCTCTACTGCTGACTGACTTGCCAGCTTTTTGGTGGATGTTGAAGATGATCAGCTTGTGGTCGCTGTCACCCAGCTTCCCTTCTATTGTTAGGTTGCTAATTATGTTGTCCCCAGTTGCCAGTACCAGGTTGAGCAGCGCTTTACCTCTCATTGGCACGTAGACTTCTCGAGTCAGATAGACCTCATCCATGCACGTGAGGAAGCTTTGCGACTGTTCAGATTTGGCTGAGCGCTCTTCCCACAAGATGCCCGGGTAGTTGCATTAGCATTTTAAAAATATGTACTTCTAATAGTAGTAAAAGTTATGTTTCTACTACAGCTGGAACTTTTATGACACAAACAGTAATTCTGCAATTCTTTTTTTCAGGAACTGCTTGATAAGTATCTTATTGTTAATGCCACACAGCCAGAAAGCAAGGTTTTCTATTTGAAAATGAAAGGTGATTACTACAGATACCTTTCAGAGGTGGCATCTGGGGACAATAAGCAAAGTAAGTGGAAATAAAATCTTGTGTTTAAAAATGCATAAAACTAGCAGATCAGAATGTAAACAGGATAAGAAATAAAGTGTGAGAAGAGTTTGTAGCTTCTCAGTAAGGAGTACTTATTTCAGTTTTCAACATCTTCCTGCAATATTGAAAAATATTGCCTGGCTGCTTTTATTAAAATAAATATGCCAAAAAACCCCACAGTGTCTAAACAATATCCAACCAACTGTGTTGCTGTCCCTGCTTCATGCCAAAAACTGCTTTGTAGTATGCCTGGAAGTTTAACAAACCTAAGTTCTGGTGGAAAAGGATGGGAATGCATCATCTCGGAGTCAAGGGCCCACCTTATGTAAAGTGCCCTGCCAGAGCCTACTTCTTGTTTAAACCAGGGCACCTAGCTCAGGTGCCACTACCAATTTCATGTGTATCCCATAGCAAATTTGGGTTCCCAAATAAGCAGGTAGTTTAACAGTTAGAAACGTTCTATTAAAATTGTCAGCTTGAATTCTGTTTGGAAGACATCAGATGGACATTGCTAGTAGGTCACTGACATAGAACTGGGCTGTCGTTTTGGAGCTCATTGTGTGACCTATCAATCAACCTGGAGAAGATGGTGTTCTTGTTTCCTCTATACTCCTAACCTCTGATGGAGGAAGTGTGTGACAGGGGATTGCCTCTTGGATGTGCCCTTCCTTCTCAGGAGCATTACTGACTTATGAGGGTGTTCCAACCCCAGGCCTTACCTCTAATTTTCACCTTACAAAACTATTTCTTGTACATGTAACTTGGTAGGTTTTTAATGACTTTGCAGTTCGGGTACTCTTCAATGGCAGTAAAACAGCTGTTTCCGTTGGCTTTTATTTCTGTATAAACTGTTGCATTTTAAATCTTAAGAATACTCCTAAACAAAACTTTAAGCCCTACAAGAAGTGTATAATTGAAAATACTTCTGCATTAATAATTCAGTTACTGGTAAGTTTCTTAGTGTTAAAAATATTGAGGGAAATCTTCCATATACGTATTGAAAAAACAACCAAATATTTATTGGTATCTGTGTCAGAAGCTCCACTTACAGTGCCTAGGTCTAGAAGTTAATTACTAGTGCTCGCTTTAGACACAAAGCAATATTACAGAACACAGTGGTTTACTATGTATTAATGTTACTGCGATCACTTTTTTTTTTCCAGCAACAGTTGCAAATTCTCAGCAGGCTTACCAGGAAGCATTTGAAATTAGCAAGAAAGAGATGCAGCCAACACATCCCATTCGACTTGGTTTGGCTCTTAATTTCTCTGTCTTTTACTATGAGATATTAAATTCTCCTGAAAAAGCCTGTAGTTTAGCAAAAACGGTAAGTATACTCTTCGTCTCCTCAATTTGACAGAGGGATGGGGTCAAGGTGTATGGTAATGAACATGGCTTAGTCTGAGAATGAATACCTTCTTTCAGAGATGTGTGCATCCTTTTAAGATCTTCCGTGGTTTCATGTAAGTTAGCAGAATCAGAACAGTTAATGGGCACATCTACATGTGCACTTTAATGCGCAGTAGCCTATTTTACCGTGCATTAAAGCATGTACAAAACTTAAAGTACACTAATGCGCAGTAAAATAGGTTACTGTGCATTAAGCTTTACTTAAACATGTGCTTTTGGTACTGCACATTAGGGCAGCCTAATATGCATTTATTTAGTACCTCACATGGGGTTCCTAATGCACATTAGGAAAAGTGTATTAATGCATGTGTAGACATGCCCACTGACTGTTAAAGTTGAGCTTCTGTGGAATAAGACAAGCTGCTTCCTTCACCTGTTTTAGGGTTTTTACCAAATGTGTTTGTGTAAGAAATTTAAATAGCATCTGCATTAATCTGGTATTTCTATAGCTATAGATTAATAAAAAAAAGCTTGCAACACCACGTTGAGGTGAGCATAGAGCAAGTCTTTGTTGTAGCATCACCAATAATACTTTACCAAAAAAACTTCAGGCATGACCTGCATTATTCAAGTTTTTCTGTTTAGAAACCCAAGACAGTTTGAGAATGATTAGCTGTATTATTAAGCTATCAAGTAGTTTGTCCCAATCAAAGAGGTCACGAAGGAATGAGGGTTGGTTTGTTCTTCTCCTTAAACTGAAATTTGACTCTTCCTCAGAAGTGAGAGGATTCATGTAGTATCTTTTAAATAGTCTCTGCTTGCTTCCAAGGAAAAACAGTCAAGTAACTGTTTGAATAATGATAGCATTAAGAATGAGTCAGCATGTACTTACAATGCACTTCTATAGCATCCTAATGCTGTTTGTATCAAGAAATTATTTTTTCTTGTTCTGCACTGGCTACTTCTAGTTATGCCTTTCTTTTTTAATTAAAGGAACCTAAATTGGGTTTGGAAATATAGCTACATCTGTGTTTCATATCCAGGTAGAAACAAAGGATCAAATTCATGGCAGTTATCAAACCTGCATACAGGTCGATAGTAAGAGTTGCTATATTAATTGGTCCTTAGTGGAAAATGCTGTTTCCTCTGAAAATACCTTGGGCTCCTATATATATGCAGGGAGGTTGCTCTAGTGTGCTGTAATTCCAGCACATCAGAGCAGACTCGATTAATTGGTTCTGCTGGTGTGTAGTAATTACCGCGATCCAGCAGCTTCCAGTGTTATGCGTATCAGCTTACCCTTGCTGAAAAATGGCGGTGGGGTGCTTTAAAACCCGTTGAACGAGCTTTAGTTCAAAGGACCCTGCCACCATTTTTCAGTGCAGGGATGCTGATGCATGTGACTCTTCAGGTGATTTTAATTAGCGTGGTGCTAATTTAAGGGCCCCCCCCCCCTCTTTCTGGAGTACATCTGTAAACATCCCTTGTTTCCTGTTTCCTTGTTTTATTTCCTCCATGTTAAATCAAAAACAACTCTCAGGATCTCTCCAGTTTTTCAGCCTGATCTCTCTCTCTTCCTCCCCCTTTTCATGACTCTTAAATGGTTGAGACCTTTTTTTTTTTAGTGATGAAGGCACTCTGGGAAATATCTAAGCATGCCCTCTTTAATCCACTGACTAGTTTGCCCTTGAGCCATCTGAAGCACTAGATATGGAAGCAAGCACACCTGCCACTTGTGCTCAGCTTCAGCCTGGAAAGTTTAGAGTATGTAGGGATTTACACTTGAATCTCCTATCATGAAATGGTATTTTTCCAGTTTGATAATAGACTGTCCTTCACTTTGTTGTAGCCTGGCTTGAATTTTTTCTTACGTTGCTGAGCCTTCAAATGTAGTCTGGGGGTGGGAAATTAAGATTCAAACCAAACTTAATTCAGATGAGCACAGAATTTAAAAATCAGATGTTGTACGTTGAATTGTCTTGCGCGTTCCAGGCATTTGATGAAGCGATAGCTGAGCTGGACACATTGAATGAAGAGTCTTACAAAGACAGCACTCTGATCATGCAACTACTTAGGGACAACCTTACTGTAAGTATCATTAGGGTAAACTACTATATATTGCACTGTTGTTTTTGTGGACTCTCTGACTCCACTAAGTAGGATTTGGCATCAGAAGTTTTGTACAGTCCTTTTCTCTGCTTTACAAACCATCTCTTCTTGGGTAACTGTACCAACTGGATGTAACTGGACCTATTTGAGAGCCATTTGCTTTGCATGTTAAATCAAAGGGTGATTGTTAACTAGTGCAATTGAGCCTTTCTGCAGTAAATTGTCATTGAAAAGTGCACTTCATCATCAGCTTCCCAACAGCTAACTTTCCTCCAGTATGTGCTGCCTGCAAGCTTTGCTGGTTTTATTAATCCACCATCCAACTTTCTGTTTAGTTCATTATTCTGCAGCTTTAGTAGTAAGCTCAATCATGTTTTGCTCTTTAATTAAGAAAATAGCACAACTACAGTTAATTATCCCATCTCCCCTCTTCTGACAATTGTAATTAACTGCATGCTTTCAGCATAAACATATGTTTGTATTTTCTTACAGCTATGGACATCGGAAAACCAGGGAGATGAAGGGGATGCTGGGGAGGGAGAGAACTAATGGCTGTCACGCTTCACTATATGTTCAATGTCACTCTGTATCCTACACATATATCCCTTTGTGCGACAAGCAAAAAGAATAGTACATCGACTTTCACAACCTCAACGTAGCAAAAACTGTCTGTGGGGTAAAAACAGTTGGTTGGTGTTTTGTGTGTTTTAAAATGAAGACCAGTTATACAATGGCATTCTGAACTTTCCTATAATGAACATTTGCAGTTATGATTACCGTGTTTATATTTTTAACTGAACACTGTGATTATGGGTTTTGTGACTGCAGTTGACTTTACAAAACTCTTACTGGTAGAAAAGTAGACATTTAATTATGTAACTCTGGAAACTTAATCTGGCACTAAAATAGTCGAAGTACAATTCTGTTGTAAAGTTGTACAGAAAGTTATAGAGATTATATTGTGACACTGGGGCATGGAAGGAAAACAATCCATTGTATGGCATTCCAGTTCAGCAACACCGCTACGAATTAGTTTAACAGGCACACTCTCTAGATATTTTTAACCAAGTTTGAGGCACTGCTTTCAGTCAATAGCTTGCTTTAAGTGAACCTTACTTTTTCTGGGGCTTTGATTTTTGGAGGAGGAGGGAGTAGAACACCTTGATTTCCAAATTCTTTACACTGGCAAATAACTGGGGTTTGAACAACTGTTTAGTGCTCAGACAATGTGCATTACTAAGCCCCTTCCTAGAGCAATAATTTACCTATTTACAATGTAGATTATTCTTTAGTAGTGAGATTTCTCGGTTCACTACCATGGAATTCGAAAAGGCAAAGATTCAATTTTATGCATGGCCATATTAGTTTGAATAATACCATTAAGTGAAATGCAATCTTTAATTCTCAGAAGAGAAAAGTAATGCAAAGTCCCTTTGGGTAGTCCCATTCTGAACTTTATCTAGAAAAATTTCTAAATATTCCACTCTGCCATCTTTTGAGTTGATACTTTAGAAATCTTCCTCCCACTGATCTGTTTGTCCTCACTTTTCACCTGCTTAAACTTCACTTAAAAAAACCCGGATTTCTATGTGTTCTATTATTTTTCAATTATGGGTGACATCAGAGAGCTGGGAGAGACTAAAGTATGTTAATGGACAGGTCTCTTAGTGAGATTTTTGAGAGCTGCCAGTGCTGCTGTGGTCTTCAGCTCTTAGTGTCTGCCACTTTCTAGGTGAGCCAGATCCTGACATTATTAAATATTCAAGAATTCCCATTATTTCTTACTGGAATGCAGACCTTACACATTTATAATGCTTGTTATTAACTTGTAATATTTGAACTCCAAATGTTTTCATATAGTTTTATTCCCAAACATGTCCTATTAAATAAGACCTCATAAGAGTTGCATGAATAATGCAGTGGAAAAGATTAGGAATAGTCACTTATCAGTCTCGCAGTATCATCCTTTTACCTTAACATTCCACTTAGTTATAGAATCCATCTGTTTGTCTGTCCATCTATCTGCTGAAGAGAGAATTTCATGCACTGATTTTAAAACTCCCCTCTACTAGCTGAACAAATCGTGCAGTTAATACTTGGCGCTTGATAAATGCAGTAGTGAATGTGGAACCGAGCCTGTCTGTATATCTGGTAGCTCTTTCGCTTTGTTTTTACTGACCAGTATTCTGCCTAAAGTTTGCTTCTGTGACGGTTATATTGCCTAGTGCACACGTGGTTGTGAGAATAGTATAGCAAAAAGAAATACCTGGTTATTGATGTACTAGATTTGTGTATGTCTTTTAAACAGTTCTAGTTTCACCTTACACAAAATAATCAGGAAAGTGTAAAAGAATTCAAAAGTGAATAATAAAAAAAAATTTTATCAGTTCCTTGTGGTCTGTTGTCTTTGCCAAACTAGTGGCAAAAGGAAGTCATGGTGGAGAAACACCACCTCCTTATTTTGCATTTGGATTGTGTAACTTGTTAACTCATGGTATTAAGTAGTACTAATATTTTATTTTATTAATAACAATCTTTGTCTGTAACAAAACTTAAACTCTACTACAACACTCATTTTGTAGTAGAGGACACGGATTCTGTTCCTTCATGTCCATTCTATTTGGGGTCATGCATATAAATCTATTTTCATTGCAGGGCTGAGGAGAAAGAAATAGAACTATAAATACTTTCTTTTTAACTTGCTATGAGTCATTGAGTATGGTAATGGTTGAATGCACAGTATGTGAACCAGGTCTGTTGCAGTGCTTTCTGCTGATGGCTAATATACAAAAGATTGATGCTTGGAGTCCTACAGCATTTGTACACATGCTTGCACTGCAGTGCTGGGTACTTTTAAAAGTACCCGATGCTGTGGCACATACAGTTCTGTAAGTGGCAAAATGCGCTGAGAAAATGGTGGCGATGCGCTTTTGAACTAAAACACATCAGAGGTGTTTTTAGTTCAAAAGTGCTCCGCTGATATTTTCTGCACACTAATGCACATTTTGCCACTTGCATAACTGCATGCCATGCAGTACAGTGTGTGTCAGCTCACGTGCAGAGCAGACTTGATTAATCAAGTTTGCCTGGCACAAAAATGTATGTGTATATATGCCCCTAGTGAGTTCGTACCTGGCTTGAAATGCTCCTTGTATAGGAGTTATTGAGAGCACTGTGTGCACCTGTAAATCTGTGTTAGTAAAATTCAACAAATATTTCTGACTCTAGGAACAGGGTAAAATTACAGCTCTTAATAGTTTTTTTTGGGGGGAGGGCTGGTTAGTGGCAGGGTTATAAACAAATATGCCAGATTAGTGGTCATTTGTCTTTAGTTTCTCAGCAGAGCTTTTCTGACAAAATTCTTGTGTAGTGTTTAATTTTCCCAAATAATACTTTCTGCAGTACATTGCAGTAAAAGGCAGCTGATCATGTACTGTGACACAGTGCATATGTATGATGTCAAATCCCTTGTTTCAAACAGTTTTTAGCAGGTGGCTAATGCCTGTGCATCACAACTGATTTTTTTCATACGAATAAAAACTCTTGATTGCAAAGGTGTGCCTTAACAAGGATCTCTTATCTCCAGTCTACTGTATACACATCTGTGGTGTGATCAATAAGCATTTTAGGAATGTTTGCCAACTATTCTCATTTTTAGAAGCAAGTTTCAATGACAGGTTCCCCTGTGTGCATGTCCATGAGGCAGTCTGTGGGGAGGAGGGGGAATCTATCCAGAGTCTGGAAATAACATTTGACAGCTTCTTAAATGAAAATGAAGGCTTCCAACTTGGCAGGCTGCAGGGAGAGCCATCTCATCCAATCAGGCCTATGCACCTCTCCTATTTGGGTGAGAGTGTAATACTTAGAAATGTAGGGCCAGCTTTCAAAATGGCCTCAACTGGGCCTTTAGCTGCCTACCAGTTTGTACTTTGTGCATTATCATTTGCATACAGGTTAACTTGTCCACACCCTACTTCTCAAAAGGGTGATTCATGAAAAGTGAACATGCAAAAGCACCTGTAGCACTGGGTGACACTTTTGGAAAACCTGGTGCCTTGAGTCATGAATTATAAAAGATTCCTCTGTGTGTGTCATCTTACATTCTACAAACAGGTTAGTTGGGGCCAAAAAGGTCATCCTACCTATTCTAGCTTTCTAATCATAACGACCTTTCTGTTTTGGAAAGGATTAATCTGGTATCTGGGAAATACCTGAGGAATTCAAAAAGAACTGAGAGATGTTGCTAACTTCCTTTCCAGCAAAATGATTACTATTCTAACTTTTACAAAGTTGTGCAGTACAATAGCAACTTAATCTTTAGAGATTTTCTGCTGCTTGATCCCTTTACTACTTTGGGAAGAAGTCCCCATTTTAACACTTACTTGTCATACAAATGAACATGCCTCCTAACTATTCAGCTGCTCTAGCTTTTCTACCTAAAAACCCAAGCAGTTGGGATTCAAGCATTAATCTGTCCCACTTGCATGGCTTCAGAGAGTTGCTGGTATTTTGCCACTTTTTCTTGAACCTCTGCATATCTTGGCTTAATTCCCAGACTCCATTAGAGCATTCCTACCTCTCACCCCTATTTATCATATTTAGGTGACTCTTCTTAAACAAGTGGATAGCACTGTCACGTCTGGCTAGCTGTTGCTGTTTTCTGATGGTGCTCAGCTTGACTTACTTCCTTATTGCGTGTGGGGAACTTCAGACTCAGGCTGGCCAGCAGAGGTGGTGGGGAATACACTGGAGATGGTGTGAAAAAAGAGAACAGGAGAAGTTTCCTTGATTTCTCAAGCCAGTGGGTCAGCTGTGGCTTGCTTGTAAAGGGAAATCCTGTACACAGGTTAACTGTGACAGAGGGCTGGCTACCTGTGCCCTGCTGCTCCTCGTCCCCTACTACAGCACTCCAAGCAGTCTGAAACCTCAGCTCTTGCATGCTGTCTGGCAAGAGAAGCTTAAATCCTATAGTTTGTGCTGGGGGAGTTCCACGGCAGGTCTTGCATTTCAAGCTCTGCATAGGAATTACCTTGCTTGGTGAGATTCAACAGATCCACTTGGGTGGAAAATGTAAGAAAGGGCTAATGCTAGTCTGCCTTCTCTTACGCCTCTCCCCCTCCTTGTCACCTTCACTCACGCCCCCAGTGAAATGTGGGAGAGCAGAAACAGCATTGCTGTGGGAGGAGAATGTGTGTCAAGGTACAGCCATTTCAAGCATCCTCTACAGAGCTGTGAAATACACCTCCAAGCAGTCAGCTGTATTTCTGTTTCATGCAGTAACTAGCAACTTCCCAGAACTGTAGGGAAGTCACTGCCATACCCACCCCACCCTTAGCTCTTGTGCTATCCTGCAAACACCCAGACAAATTCTTCAGTTTTGCAGCAAACTGTTCAATTAAAAATATATATTAAACTATACATCCAATTTCTTGCTATCACAAGTATAGTATGAATTGTGAAGTCACCTTTAAACTGAATGGTTTATAGATGAAAACAGTGCTAAGTGTTTATTATGCGGTTGCCCAAGGAAAAAGACTGTTAAAATGGGTGATGGGTTGTGAGGAATGATCATGTTCATTGTGACTGAGGAACGGGTTGAAAAGAGTTTGGTAAGGAGCCGAGGTGTTACAGACTTAGTGATGAAGTGTATGCACTGAGAGTTGTGAATGTCTTGCTGACTGCTAGACTTGTATTGCTATATTTTATTTAAAAATAGGTTTTAGTTTAGTTGAAATCCTCTGCAAGGAAACCACATTTAGGTTGAAATGCAGCACCACTGCCTTGCAACTTTCAACTTTAAGAAAAAAGTACTTGCATAAAATTGCATCTGAAAAAGTTACACTTCTCTGGGGGACAGAATTGGCTCATTGACTTTAATATACCTCGACTCTTCTGGGAAAGCTTACTGGATCTGTGTACAAAAGAGGTAATGAAACGTTAACGATGTTTGTACCCAAAAGCTTGCAAAGAACAAGTTTTTCAATGGTGTAGTGGTCTAAAAGATATCACATTTATCCAAAGAAGCTTGCGTGCTCAAAGAAGCAAGGTACTTCTCACTAGCGCCATATTAGGCAGGTATTGGCCTGGTGCTGCTGCAATGGTGAATGCCACAGCTTTCTGAAGAGTCTTTCTCATGTATTTTCCTTGTGAGATGTTTTCCAAAATCGCAGGTTGAGGCAAAAATAAGCAGTAACACGTAACTTTGAACAACTATATTAAAAACCAGTTCCTTCAAGATGGCTTAGCTGAAGGACGATCTGACATTTCAAGTGAACTGGGCATCTCGTGTGGTGCCAAATGAGTGGAGGAAGGGAATGCAAGGAGTAAAGAGCAGAATCTTCTGTTTTAATTCGCTTGTCTTCATGTTGCTGTAAGCCGGTAGGAGCCCTAGCGGTGGACTGGGGCCTCCTTTCACCTTATGAAGAAACAGCACACAGAGAAGGATTCTTGTTGAAGAGCGTACAGTCTCAGCAGTGGACATAACATCTACACGTCTCCTCCTGTACAGGCACAGGAGTGACATAAAACCAACACGTGGGTTTAGCAAACTAGGGTTTATTGCATAGTAATGAGCAACTGAGTCAGACTATTGAGCAGCACACCACACACTCCTATCGTACACTTGTCATGTACACCATTTACACCAAGTCACCTGAAGCAGATGCACTCAACCGAGGGAGCTGCAAGCACCGGCTCCTGTCTAACCAGCCCTGCTCTGCTCCGCCCACGACCCGCTCTATTTTCCTACCCGCCTTTGTGGGTTTTTTTTTTTTAAACCTCTATCCCTGCTGTTCCTCCCCGCCTCTAGGATTTCCACCCCCTCGAGCTCCGTGCGCGGAGCGGCGCTCCCACCGACCCAACCGCTGCGACGCGGCCCGGCTAGGGCAGGAAGAGAAGGAAAGGGGCGGGGTCCGCGGCCGTCTGAGCCAGAGCTGCGGCTGCGCGTGAGTGCGCGGGGATCCCGGGGATGGCTCCGCCCCGGGAAGGGGCGGGGCTTCTGGCAGCCCTCACTGCTGACGCTTCTCGCCCCTTCGCCTGCCCTTCACTGGTGCTGCTTCCCGTTGTCTCCTGTGCTCCGTCCCCACTCCGCTTCCCGCTCCCTGCCCGCTCGGCTCCCTCCCCAGGCTGCCAGTGCCACCGTGCCCCAGGTTGGCCACCTCTTGTTTGAGATGCGGGGGCAGTTCCTTGCGGGGGGCGGGTTGAGCGCGCGGGCAGCTCTGCCAAGCCTGGGGGTGGGCGCGCATCGCAGGGGCCGAGCGAGGTTCACTCGGATCCTAAGACCTTTTGAAAACAACCGTCCATAAGGCTTGTAATACTAAAGCAGGTAGATTGGGAGGCATTCACGGACTGAAATGGGGATGTAGTATTTTTGCAAGTGGGAAACAGCTGTGAAAAGCTGCCGCAGCCTCCCTCGAAAAAAGGGATGTGCTGAAGGGAATGGGGCCGTCTATCAAAGTGCACGACGCCTCAGCGTGCCTGCAGGTGGTAGAAATGCCTGACCTCAAAATGTGGCCGTCTAACTATGTATAGTCTTGGCCACCCGTGCTAGGAAGCCGTGCGACTGCAATGCAAGGCTTCTGCAGCAGCGCCAGAGTGACTAATGGGAGAACCAGATGTTGAGAGTACAGTGTGTGCAAGCTGGGTGCGCAAGCCTGGGTCCTGCAGCAGATGTGGAACGACCTGCGGAGATGACCAGCTTATCCTAGCTCCCTGGAAGGAGGGGTTAGGCTTTTACTGCTACACGCTACCTCTCTGCTGTGCTCTGCCCAATTCCTTATGCCGCTGGAAATGCTCTAGAGTTGTTAATGAGGTTTTGAATTCTTCCCTGCCTGACTCACTACTTCGGACTATAATCTCCATGGAGAGAGTGACTTATTCTAGGCATTCCTTCCTGGGCGAGGGAAAGTGGCCCAGTGCACTGGGAACTGGGGCTTCCTAGTTGCGTTTCCAGCTCCGCCAGTGAGTCAGTCTGTGGCTGTGGGCAAATCCTTTCCCATTCCCCACCAGGCAAGGATGCTAGAGAGGAGGGCCGTGAGATTAATTTGTGCTTCTGTTGAGTGCGTTGAGATTCCTACATCAAAGAAGCTAGAGAAATGTTGGAGACAACCCTTTCTCCTCCCTGTTAGATTTGTATTTACAACTTGCTTCTTGTAGGCTGACTTGACTTGAGAAAAAGGACAGGAGGCTTGTGATGGGTCAGTGGATAGGTCAAGTCTGAGAGAAGTCCAGATATCTGTAGCAGCCAAGGGTTGGACTATAGATGGAGACTAGAGGTAGTATGAATCCAGAACTTTTGATTGTCTGATTCTTCTCTCTGACTTTCTAGTGCCCTCCCAATGTAGTATTTTTAGTGATTGCATTTCCATTAAGTTTTTAGTTTTCTACAAAAAGAAACCTCTGCTGATGGCCTCAGTATGGCTGTTGGCAGAATTTAAAGATTGTTTGGGGGTTTTTTTAAATACCCTTTGGGCAACTTCAGTTGTGTAGTGTCTGGTCAAGTTTATGAATGAGAGTTCCATTTATTAGGCTTCTGTAATGCAGTTTCTCTGTCCTCTCCATTATTCCCCTTCCTTCAATCCCAAAACAGCAGTTCACCGTTTGGCTACAGGATGTGGCTTGTTCCTGAGCCTTCCGTTGTGGGGCTGGGAGTATTTGTATAGGACCCTTGGGGAGATGTCTCAGTCAGTTGAGAAGTTAGGATCTCAGCCAAGGAGATGGAAGTAGTTTGGAACCTCCCCCCCCCAAGTTCAGCATTGGGCTCTGACTCCAAGCTGGTATGTGTATTTTAGAAAATATTTAAAGAATATCAGCCACCTGCTGTACTGTGTATTGGTTTATTTTGAGCTCTGATTTGGAACCGTCACTGTATTATCTGGTGGCTTTGTAAGATTTAAAATGAGCTTTTAAAATTAAAACCTGGATTGTGCAGCAGAGACCCTTTTTGTTCTTTATTTGTACAGCACCTGCCACAGTGAGGTCCTGGCCAGTGACTGGGGCTCCTTGGTGCTATGAGAAGATATAGAAGTCATGTTAGCAAGGGGGACCAAACGTCTCTCCTCCTGTTTCCCCAAGTCTTAGCAGCCAGATAAGAAACTAGGATTTAACTGGTTTGGAAGTGCTGCCTTTTTTTTTTGCAGTTCATTCTGGAAGTGGCTACACTAGTACTTTTCTCAGGAGTGAATGCCAGGGGCCAGGCCTGCTACCAAGAAGGACCTGCTAGGATTAGTGCTAGGCTTACTTTTGAAACCTCAGGTTCTGGTGTTTTGTGGTTAATGTAGATGTGGCATATTGGAAATGAAATGATGTTTGCAGCTGATAATCTCCACTGGCATCGTGGTCCCACAGTAACAATTACTACCAGTTCTTCCCTGCAGTGTTTGTTTAAGTTGGTTTTCCTTGTTCTCCCTGATGGCCCTCATTTCCTTTGCTGCTGCTGTTTGAATGGTACATGGTAGGTCTGTAGGTTAATCCTTAGATATGAAGGGCTGATTTATCATGGGATTGCTCAAATGTGGTGAAAGTAGCATGCTTTTCTAGCATCTTCATTGGTGGGCCCTCTCAGGTAGAGAAGTGTTATCATAATCATCTCCATCTTGCAGATGTGGGGAGTGTGACATTTGCCAGAATCTTTGTGTCCTTGGGTGAAGCAGCCAACATTTTGACTGAGCCCTGTACTTAACCCTACTCCTGCCCAGCCCTTTAGCATTCTCTCACGAGGTTGCTCATCTCAAACTTCTGCACTGCAGATCTCCATGCCTTGTCCTTCTCCACCCATGACAAAATGACTGGATCCCTGATGGCCTTTTTTTAACAGGGGCAGTAACAACTTTGAATTTTTGCTAACTTGCAACAGATTGATATTAAGGATATTGGAGGTTGGGATATCATCCTGAGAGTGGTGATTTCCTTGTGGGGGATTTCTCTTGCAGCAAAATACCCTCCATTGTCCTTGGATTTGCCTTTCTCTCTGAAGAGCAAGGGTATGGTGAATCGTGAGGGATTAAAATCCTTCAGCAGGATAGAGCTGTTTGTTTACCAGGGAATGAAACTCCAGTTGGTTCTCTTAACTGGTGCATGTAAATTGAAAATAGTGAGTCACACCTCATCTGAGTGTCCTATTGTCTGCATAATTTCCATGGAGTAGGGGTTTATTTAAGATATCAGTGTGCAATAAACAATTCAGTTTTTGCTGTTCAAATGATATTGATTAGTTTCAGCTTGTGATCTACGAGGTGTGCATATGAGGCTTGTGATGTACCAGAGGTACAAATAATCCAAATGCCGCTGGTAAGAATTTATGATTTCTGTTTGCTGCACCATACAACTTCATGGGCAACAGGAAGGTTTGGGATCACATTTTTCTTGGTTGCTTCATATGATTCATGCTGTATTATCTTAGCACAAAAGGTATTTTCTGTGCTGCAGTGTGTAACTGGATCTTGCTTCACTTTAAAGTTAAGCTTTGTGGTTGACCATGAATGCTAGTGGCCCCGGATATCCATTAGCCTCTCTTTATGTGGGAGATCTACATCCAGATGTGACAGAAGCCATGTTATACGAGAAGTTCTCACCTGCTGGGCCGATAATGTCCATCAGAGTTTGTCGGGATGTTGCCACACGCCGATCGCTGGGCTATGCCTACATAAATTTTCAGCAGCCTGCAGATGGTAAGTTTGATAAAAGTTAACCTCCCTCGAACTTTTTTTTGTGTATAGCTGGAGGTAGTTTGGGGATCTGCTTAAATGGGGTGTATAAATTCTAGGAGCATTTTAAAAAGTAGTACTGGCTTAAAACTGGGGTTTTCTTCATATCTACTATAGTCTTGCTTAGGGTTCTTTAGTAACCACTGGTAGGATTGAGCATCTAATCACATCTCTGTCCTTGTATAAAGCAAGGTACATCGTTAGCCCCTATGCTTTTAATTTGCTAACTGACTTTCTGACCTGTGTACAACAACAATCTTCCTCAAAGCTCTGGCACATAGAATCATAGTTTCATAGTTTCTAGGGTTGGAAGGGACCTGAGTAGATCATCTAGTCCGACCCCGTGCCGTGGCAGGAAAGAGTACTGGGGTCAAACGACCCCAGCAAGGGTTCTAGCCTCCTCTTAAAGACCCCCAGGGTAGGAGCCAGCACCACTTCCCTTGGAAGTTGGTTCCAGATCCTAGCTGCCCTAACTGTGAAGTAGTTCTTATGGATGTCTAATCTAAACCTACTCTCCAACACCTTGTGGCCATTATTCCTTGTCATGCCAGGGAGCGCTAGGGGAAACAAGGTCTCTCCCAAAGCCTTCTGGTCCCCCCTAGTGAGTTTATAGATGGTCACTAGGTCCCCCCTCAGCCTTCTCTTGTGAAGGCTGAACAGGTTCAGGTCCTGCAGTCTCTCATTGTAGGGTCTGCCCTGCTGTCCCCAGATCATGCGGGTGGCCCTCCTCTGGACCCTCTCAATGTTGTCCACATC